GGGCCGAGCGCTGTGGTGGGGCCGCCGCCTTCCGCCCGGTGAGTGAGGGCCGGGGGATCCACTGAGTTACTGCGCGGGTCCGCGGGGGCGGGGGCCAGGCCGGCGCTTCGCGGGGTCCCTCTGCCTCCCCCTGCGGCCCCCCGTCTTGCTAGGGTTTCCGCTTGCGGGCGCCTCCCTGCCCCGCTGCTGGTCGCGTCCCTGTGGCAGTAGCTTAATCCCCGTTGTGCTCGAGCTCCTCAACAGCCGAGCAGCGCCTGCCCGAAGAGCAAGCGCAGCCGCCGTCGTCCCAACGCCCCGGGGTGGCTCCCTGTGAGCCCCTGGACACCCGGCCTGGCAGCGATGTCCAGCGTGCTCTGCTGTGAGCGCCTCTCATCCCGTGACAGCTTTAGGCTGCAAGGGTGTGCGCAGTACTACTCCTCCTGCCTTCTGACGCCTCCTTTTTCTCTCCCCCCCCCCCCTTCCCCAAGCAGGTCCCTAGTCGGAGGCTTTGAAATAGCCATGGATAAACGAGGAGGCATAGCAGAAACTGAAAATGGAGATGCTTTCCTTGACTTGAATAGAGTAACAGCAGCAAAATACCCTCATCGTTACACAAAAGTAAGCTCACCTCATTTCTTTGGAGGAGGAATGTGATGCTGATACCCATGAAGTCAACTAGGAGGTGAAACTTGTGTAAAATTCAAGTGTAGTCGTTTGAAGGGGGGGAAAACCCAACTCTAGATCTACCCATGTTTAGACTAGAATTGAGGAAGGTCTAATGCTTGCTAAGATCATTTAAAAAAAAAGTTAAGTCTGGTGTTGTGGATACAGAATCCCTATGGCTTAAGCACAGTAGTAGGTTTCTGAACATCTCATAATGTGCTGATCAAGTTAAAGCCTATGTTTGGTTTTCTAACAAATCTTTTAAACGTTAGTATAGGATGACGCCTTAAGCTGTGTTTAACTTAAACATACAGGAGAGGATTGGTAGGAATGTGCAGATGGCAGAGTCTCTTCAGGATATATAGTTCTCTCTTCAGAGTTGTATCAAATGTGGGTGGCACGTCTAAGTGCTGCTGTGCTTACAAAGTTTTGGAGCTTGTGTTTAGATGTGGGGTATGGAAGCTGAGCCTTGGTCTTGTATAAAAGATGTCAATGTATTTAGAAGTTGAATATAGGAAGGCATGTTTTTAAACTGTAGTCATAATATTAAAAGTATGGTGAGAACAAAAATACTTATTGGTTCTAAATTATGCAAGAGTTGGAAACAATTATACCTTTACAGCAAACGTACAACAAGTTAGTAGTACACTTCTAAGGATAACACTGCACTGGGCTGTAACAACACTGCTCTGTCTTGTAGAATGAGGGTGTGAGGAAATTTAACAGCTTTTGGGTTTTCATCTGGAAACTCTGCAAACACATACAGAAGACATTCCTTGCTGTAGGGAGCATATATACTGCATTTAAAAACATTGGAACAAATAATTTAATGAACAAATGTATTTAACATACGCGGGGTTTTAGAAAGGACAAGTGATTACTTCACTTTTAAAAATTACCCAGTACGTTACTTAAATTCAGATTTCTTGACTTTCCTGAAAACCTGTCTGCTTATGTTAGTTTTATACTAATCTGTGAAGTGGCTGTAGATATTGTCAGCTAACTAAGAAGAGTGAAGACTAAGAGTTTGTTTGCTTTTTAACAGCTAAAACATGAAACTGGTGATTTGTGCGTGGTTTGTTACCTCCCTCGTGCCCCTGGGGATATGCAGGACATTGTGTTATGGTGGATTTAATTTTTATAATAATAATAATAATTGGCATGGGAGGGGTTAAAATATAAAACTTATGCAGGCAGCTGGTAAATTTGTAATGGGGTATGCAATAAGAAAAAATTTGGGAACCCCTGCCCTAGATAATGGTCTAAAAATTAAGTTGTTAAAGTTTGTCTATCTTCCTATTGTCCCTTTATGCTTTTTAGTTCTGCCAATAGGTACCATCTCTTCAGATTATTTTTTTTTTTAAAACAAACTCTTATAGGGATTCTGCATCATTGTTTTTTCATTCTTGTTGATGCAGTTAACATAATGCAATGAAGCTGCTGCTCTTGTGAGGTGCTTTTTGCCTGAAAACTGAATGGGTGCAACTTTGCTTTCACTACTGCTGCCACTGGCAGAGAGATTTATGGGCTGGTCTCATGCTGTGGTAATGGGAATGCTAGTGGCCTACTATTCAGCTTCTCTTTTCCTAGGAGTGCTTTCCCAGCATGGAGAATAAGAAAAATGGAACTGATTCAGTTTTTTTTTTTGTTTTTTTTTTTTGTTTTTTTAAATTTGTGGTGTTATCCTTGGACTGTGTAGTTGAACTAGTAGCATAATACTTCTAGTCTTGCTGATGATTTAAGTTTTAGTGGATGTTGAATGCTGTCCTCAAAGTAAGGAAACATGCCCATTTTAAGTAACTATAGCTGTTACTGGGCTTCAAGTAATGTGTTCATACTATGATCTGGTAGACTACAGGATCACTTTAAATGAATACTGAAAATTAATCCAACTTGATCGAGTTCTATAGGTTTCAAGCTAATTTGTGGGCTGCTGGTACTCCAAAACACTTGCTACTAATTTGGAGACGTGAGTGTCTGGGCTGTAACTTCACATTTAAATAATACTCCCAGGATGTTATGCCACATGTTGTTGTAGAAACATGTAATGTCATATTGGTTTATGCCATGAAATGAATTTTGACTAAAGTCACTTCAAAAGGTGCCCAGTTCCAGGTTTATATATTTGTTATGCTAGCCACTTTTTTAAGGTATTCAAATTATTGTGCATGTAATCTTTACCACTGACAGAAGTGTGGTAAATATGCTCTTTTGATAAACAGGAGGATTGTGGTTGAAGTAAAATGATTGGTTTAAGGCTGTTTGATCTGTGATTTGGCAGAGAAGTACAAAATCACAAGGATGTCTCTCCCCCAAACCAGGGGTCATTGTGTAGTTCATGGTAGGTATCTCCCTTTGAAAGAGTGACTGCTCTTGAACTTTGTAGTCATAAGTGACTTTGAACTTTGTTTTCTGCTATTTTGTCGTCTTTTGTGATCCCTCTGGTGGCTGATAAAACTGCAAATTGATTGATTTATTTTGAAATGCATTCCTCGCAAGCCACAAGTGGTTATGCACTTTTAGTGGATCAAAAGAGCATTTAAATGAAGCATCATATCTGTGTGGCTGCTATGGTGCTATGTGGGCTGGCTTCTCCTGGAAACCAGTATAAATTAGGGGTGCACCAATAGATTTTGGGGGCTGATGCCTATATCCAATATAGCTGCCTCCAGCTAGTAAGTCCAGTGTAGTTGAAGGGGAGGGGAGGGGGTCAGATCAACATCCCCTGCAGTGAGGGAGGGGGCAGGTGCCCCCCAGCCAGGGCAGGGGGGGGCATGGGACAGAGGCACAGCTCATGTGGTAAGGATGGCTCCCACCACTGCTTGCACCCTGGGAGTGTGGGGGGCTGTATGCCCCCAGATCTGCACAGGGTGGGCTGCAGCTGCAAGGCGGAGCTGGCACAGCCCTGGCTGAATGCCCCACCTCCACCCAAGCACTGGGAAAAGCCACATCTGTGGCAGGTGGCAGCATGGAGCTAGGAGTGGAGCTGTGGCAAAATTTGTGGTGGCTGCAGCCCCCTCCCAGCACTGCCAGAGCCTGCTCCAAGCCCAGCTCCTGGCAAGAAAAGCCTTATGTAGCTCTGGCTACACCCCACAGCTGCAACCAGCCCTGTGGAGGTCTGGAGGCACATGCCACTTCCCCCTCTTCCCCCCCCCCCAGGGTGCAAGCAGCAGCAGGAGCTGTCCCCACCCCATGAGCTGTGCCTCAGACCCTGGCCTGCCTGGGCAGTGCCTGCCCCACACCCTTCCTCACTGTGGGGGACATTGATCTGCCCACCCATGCCCCTTCCCTCCCCACTTCCCTTTCAATTTACCAGCTGGAGGCAGCTCTCCACACTGCCAGCTCTGCTCTGTGTTGTGCTGCAGCTGTGCACAGCATGGCCATTTATTGCCCAACTATCAGCCCTGTCGGACTGATGTTAGATATAGACAATTTTCTTTATATTGGTACTGATCCTGTATCAGTGCACCTCTAGTATAAAGGGATCCTATATGCTCAACACTCCATGTGAATCGCCTCAGAAGTAAAGGTCTCTCTCTTGGTCTCCCTCATTAGCTGACCACAGTTTTACAAAAAAAGGACATGGTTATCTAAAACATTTATGGTGTGAACATCATAAACAATAACTTAAAAATGGCAAATTAGAATTAATTATACCTAAACCACTAGTGTATTTTAAAAGTAACTATTTGGAAGGTATGCTGAGTTACTGAAACACTTCTTGAACTCTTAACAGCAAAAGGGAGAATTTTAATTGGGCACTTATTTTACCTAGTGCTACATTGCTGGTAAATATATTTCCATCTAGAAGATCAACTTAAGTAACTATGTTTCCAGTGGTGAGTTAAGAATTCCAGTACTCTAATCCCAGCCCATCCCCATTTAA